CCATGATAGATTACGTACCAGGAAAATGGATGTTACTAATGTAGTAACTCTGAAGAACAATGATCAAGCAAACAAGACTTTCCATTCTTCTCCTTTTTTTGGCTAAGACACAAACCCTAACTTGGATATGAGAGAGGGAGAGAGAGAGAGAGAGAGAGAGAGAGAGAGAGAGAGAGAGAGCAAGAGAAAACATGAGAATGAGAGGGAAAAATAATATGTCCAGTTCTCAAGTCTTAAGGAACTGCTCTATTGGTTAGATTGCTATTTATCTATTTTAATTGGTATACTTATATGTTAATCCAAGGGATAAATACTTACCAATTCAAAGTTTCAAACCAAGCATAATTACACTTAGACCCTTCATTTAGTTTCTAATTAACTAGACATAAGGTGACAAGATAATAAACTAGTCCCTCTAATTTTCCTTTTATCATTTTATTCGTAAATCATATCTTCGTGTAACCTAAAAGGACCATGCTATTTCTAAAAATATCACTAACTTATGACATTGGGCATACTTCCAACAAGTCAAACTCAAAAACCGTTTTTGGGTTTTATTTTCAAAAGCACATACACACAAACGAACACATAGAAAACTCTGAAGAATATGAAATCGTTCGTGGGTGTTCATCAAAATCTGATTTTTGTGATGTTAAAAAATCGAAGGACATGAAAACCTTTTTGGAAGAAATCATTTTTTAGGTGTTTGATTTCGTTTCTGATGAGTCAAACCCATAAATCGTTTCTTGTTTTTTTTTTCTTCGGATTTCCTGGTTTGTTGGATTTTTTTTGGAAGAGATACACAAATATAAGGGATTCATGGTAAACAATTTTAATGATTATGTGCCAAAAAAACATAAGGGTGCACAAAGTATGAGCAAACATGGAGAATGGTAGCCATTGGTGGGCTCAATACCGTGGGTACGGGTAGCGCCATTCCGTGAAAGTGGGGGCCGTAATGGTGCGGGTTTAGCCAAATGGTGATTTGTACCACATGTTTTAGTATTTGTACGTTGAGAGCGGGTTAGGAAATATGGAATCCTTGTATTGAGGGTTGTGAAAGATAGATTAAGAAGAAAGAGAAAAACGAATGTGACAAATAAGTGACAAGAGGGTTGAGACTTGGTATGGCTGGGAAAGATAGATTCCCTTGGTTCTAAGTAATTAAATACGTGCATGAGATACCAAATGGTTTGTAGCCTAACAATATCAAAAGTATTGGAACAATGTTTATTTTTTAAACGATCGAGGTTTCAAGTCTCATGTGGACAAAAGAAGTGGAATTAGTAGTATGATTAGTGGGTGTGTGTTTGTAGTAAAAAAAATAAGGGAACTGAGTAAACTAACTATTATAAATGAGTTTTTATTTATTTTTTTTTATAATTATTTTTTTCAGTTTTTGAAAAATGACCATTTACTCCCAAATACTATATTCCGGACATAATTCATTTTTGGTTTTATTTTTTCAAAAGAAATATCTCTATTTATGTCGGAAATGTCCTTCGAAGTGTTCAATGTCATTGATTTTTAGTCAAATGCTTGATTTTATACATTAATCTCGTATATAGATCATATTAACTATGTTTGTTGAACTTTTTGTTAGATTTAAGTAAAAGATTAATTTTTTTCTTGAAATTTCAGAATTGTTCATCAGATTTGGACTTGTTCTTGAAATTCCAAAGTTTTTATCGAAATCCAAAAATATTGTATGAAATCGAGAATGTTACTCCGAAATGTCAATCTGAAAATGTGTTTTTTCAAAATATCGATTGACAATTCCGTACTAAGTGGTTATTTTTAACAAAATAATTCTTTTTAATTACTTTTCTTCAAATACATATTAAATTGTGGTTAGATTGCTTAATACTGTTAATAATACAGTGTTGAAATTTATTATTTTCTTATTAACTCATTCTTGTGATTAAACATCAATAAAAGAGAACGACGTCGTCGTTTCCTTCTTCCTCCAAATCTCTCACTCCCAGACACAGTATGAGTCGCTTAACTTCCTGCTACTGATAGTCGAACAAAGCAATGGGCAGCACAGTCAACATCAAGAGCAGAGTGTTCGGACCTCCTTCCTCAACACCCTGCACTCGCTCACACCAGATCGGAGCCCTAGCCCTCATCGCCGTTACCTTTTTCGCCACCAGACTCTTAGACCAATCATTCCCCTCCTCCATTTCTTCCTCTTCATCCTTCGATGGCAATGGATATGAATCCAACATTATACGTTTCTCAGAAGATGAGGGTTCAGTACGGTGGCCTCGCCGCGGATATGGGTCCTACATCTCCCTCAAAATCTACATCTATGATGAGAATGAGATCGACGGCCTAAAACAGCTCTTGTATGGTCGTGATGGAACGATTTCGGCCGATTCTTGCCTCAAGGGCCAATGGGGTACTCAGGTAATTCAATTTCCCTTTTTTCGTGTTTACCAGAGTTCATGGAACCTATAGATCGTCAATTTCATCTTACTTGTGCAACTTATTGAATGAAGGGTGCTAATCTGTTCTTCAACTATAGTCGATTTGCCGAAATTATATGTTACTGGTTTATTGGGATTAGTTGTTGTTTTACATGATTCACTTCTGCCCTGATCAAAAGCTGAAACATCAATTTAATCTGGCGACGATGTATAGGATGCGAACTCAATTTGAATTGCATATAACAAGTTACCATTCTGAACTGATGAAATTAGTTTGTAAATTTGAAGATAACCTTCCTTCATCAGGTTTTTACAAGCACATCTGGTCACAGTTATAGCATTCTTGTATTTTGGTAGAGTTTCACATGAATTTTATCCTTTGCATCAGATAACCAGTCCAGTTTTTATTTTTCTATCAGATTTGACATAGAACAGGATTATCTTATTGTGATTAAAACCATGTTCTTGAAAGATTGCACATTTATATAAATTGATAATGTTAAGTGTTCTGTATCCTATTTTTGTTTGAAGGGTATACTAAGTTCTTGTCTTTTGACACTGACATGAAATTATAGGTCAAGATCCACAAGCTTCTACTTAAATCAAGGTTTCGTACACACAAGAAAGCAGAAGCTGATCTGTTCTTCGTACCATCTTATGTTAAATGTGTTCGGATGATGGGTGGTCTTAATGATAAAGAGATAAACCAAACTTATGTTAAGGTATATCATAAGAAATTGTACTTTAATTTAGAAATAGTTAAGTTAAAAGATTTCTAATTTAGCACCCTCTTGCTCTCAGGTATTAAGCCAAATGCCATATTTCAGGTTATCAGGTGGTCGCAACCACATATTTGTGTTTCCAAGGTCTGATTACTTACAATTATAACCAATTTCATCAATTATTATTCTTGTTGTCAGTTTTTATAACATAAGTATGATGACTTACAATTACTACTATGATACTATTACTATCTGTCAGTGGTGCAGGGGCCCACCTATTCAAATCATGGGCTACCTACATAAACCGCTCAATAATCCTAACTCCTGAGGTTAGTGAATACAAAATAAGACTTGCATAAGGTGTTTTCTTGATTTATATTGGAGTAAAAAAAATGTTTGCATAATAAACAGGGAGACAGGACAGATAAGCGAGACACAAGTGCCTTCAATACATGGAAAGACATAATTATCCCTGGAAATGTTGATGATGGAATGACAACTCATGGGGTAAGGCTGGTAGAACCCTTGCCATTATCAAAAAGAAAATACTTGGCAAACTACTTAGGTCGTGCACAAGGAAAATCAGGCCGTCTTCAATTAATTGATCTTGCTAAACAATTCCCACATAAGGTATTTACTTACTTTTTCCTCTGTCTCTGTCACTGTCACTGTCACTGAAACTGTCTGTTTTCTACAGTTGGAATCTCCAGAGTTGAAGTTTAGCGGTCCTGAAAAATTGGGGAAGGCCGATTACTTTCTACACCTGCGGAATGCTAAGTTTTGTTTGGCCCCACGTGGGGAGTCATCTTGGACTCTTCGCTTTTATGAGTCCTTTTTTGTGGTATGTGTTTTTATTAAACTTGCAAAATGAGGGTTTGTTGAATAATTGAATTTTTTTTTTTTAATGAAAAACAGGAGTGTGTGCCTGTGCTGTTATCAGATCATGCAGAGTTACCATTTCAGAATGTTGTTGACTACTCCCAAGTATCAATCAAATGGCCATCTTCAAGAATTGGTGTTCAGCTTTTGGAGTATTTGGAGTCCATACCAGGTTTGTTTGATGTTATGACATGATCCCTTAAATTGGCATTAAGTATGTTGACTTTTTGGTATAGTTGTTGACCTTTTTGGTTATGGTGTTGTTAGATAAACGGATAGAGGAGATGATTGCTCGAGGAAGAAAGTTGAGATGTTTATGGGTATATGGTCCTGATTCGGAGGCGTGTTCTGCTTTTAGTGGGATATTGTGGGAGCTTCAAAGGAAAACAAGACAATTTCATCAGTCAAGTGAAACATTTTGGCTGCATAATGGATCGATAGTTAATAGAGATTTGGTGGAATTCTACAAATGGAAACCACCCATGCCTTTGCCTTAAAACTTTGAAAAAATGGAGAGGATTCATAGAATACAAGAGTTGTAGTTTTAATGTGATATGAGAAGCTAGTCATGGTGATGTAAATGATATGGCTATTTAGGAAGAATTACAACAATTCCTCGATATAATGGAAATTTTGATTGGTTTGTTGTATTATAGTTACAAGATGACAATTGAGTTTGGGTCAATTTATCTATTTATTTGTTTGAGGTTGCTAAGACTTGAGTTGTTATGTTGACCTATACGTTGTTATTTTGTAATTAAAGTTGAAGAGGTGGTTTCAATTTTTTGTAATTTTTGTGATTAGCTTTAATTAACATAATATGGTATTTCTCTCATGTAATAGTTATACAAATTGCACCCAAATGAGGAAAATTAATCAATGCATTATGAGATTTCAGAAAAGTTACGTTTTGCCAGGCAGGCTTTTAAATTTATTATTTTACTAATATCTTTTTGCAAAATATGCGATTATATAAACAAAAAAAAAAATTAAAAAACACATAGAACACGAGTCTTGTACTTGAAGACGTGGCCAATTCGAAGCCAGATGGTGACCATTTTCAGATAAGTGAATTCCCACCATGAAAATAGAACATACAGTAAACTACCAAAATACAAACTATCAAACATTGTGCATAAGTTGTTGAAGAAGAAGAAGATCTACATTCTACAGACTAAAAAGGAAACACCCTCAATCTTTTTTACGATATCATTCTACCAGAAGCCCTTCGAAAGATGGGCACAATTGGATTTACAAGTTTCGGGTTTCCATTAAAAACCAGGAACCAAAACCTTCCTGTTGTTGCTTCTAGTTCCTCCTCCCCTGAAAGAATCAGTTCAGAAGAAAACGGGTGTGAGGTTTTGAGAAGAAGAACAGCAATCGTATCTGGAGCTTCATTGGTGTCTTCAGCAATATTAGGATTCCCTAAAGAGGGATTGGCCGTCGTCAAGCAAGGACTTTTAGCCGGTAGAATTCCAGGCTTATCTGAACCTAATGAACAAGGTTTGTCCCCTTTTAATCCTAGATACACAATCAATTAGGGAATATGAAAACTCTTACAATTATACCAAAATCATCAATCATATATTCTTAATCAATTTTGTTATTCATCTTCACGATGTTAAAACATGATCAGACAGGTTGGAGGACTTACCGCCGACCAGATGAGAAGTCCGGCGGCCATGGAGTTGGCTGGAGTCCGATCATTCCGTACGCCTTTTCAGTGCCTGATGGTTGGGAAGAGGTAACAATTGATTATCATCCCTTCTGAATCATTCGATAACGTTAAGAAATCAGCAACGGTTTGGTGATTTGTCTATCATCTTTTCCAGACACCAGTATCGATAGCTGATCTTGGAGGAACGGAGATTGATCTGAGATTCAGTAGCCCAAGTGACGGACGCCTGTTCGTCGTCGTTGCACCAGTTCTCAGATTCGCAGATTGTGAGTTCACCCTTCAAAAAAAATAAACTTATCGTTTTTTCTGCATAACTAAACATTCTATTACGTCATTTAATACATAGATCTAGAGGATGATGCCAGGATAGAGAAGATCGGAACTCCAGAGAAAGTGATCAGTGCATTTGGACCAGAAGTAATTGGAGAGAATGTAGAAGGTAAAGTGGTGAGCAGTCAAGTTAAAGAATATTCAGGAAGAAAGTATTATCAGTTCGAGTTAGAACCACCACACTGTTTGATCACAGCCACTGCTGCTGGAAATCGTCTCTATTTGTTCAATGTTCTTGCAAATGGTAATGAAAATGAAATCCATATAAGTTTTGAATCTTGAAAGATTGCTTACATTCATTAACGTGTTAATTACTTAATCTTTGCAGGTCTACAATGGAAGAGGCACAACAAGGACCTGAAAAAGATAGCGGATTCTTTTAGGGTTGTATAGAGGGAGGCAACATACAGATGATAGTATACTGTATACATGATCTTGTTGTATAAACGTGCCATTGAAAACATTATATTTTAGTTTTGAATTTTGAAGCAACCCATGATCGACATGCTTGAAAAATATAATAACACTTTGGGGTTTGAAAGATAGTCAGCAAGATGATTGAAACAAAGCGAAATAGCAAAATCATGGATGAGAATTTTTGTGATCTTGAAAGTACCATTCTTTTTTTAAAAGTATCGGGTAAATTGCAATGAAGTCACTAAGTGAACTAATTCATTTTATTTACAATTTTGTTACAATATGAATCAAAATAAGAGTTCTTTTTGTTCTCCCTATAACAAATCTTCGTAAATTGCAATAAAATCATTAAGTCTACCAATTTTTTTTTTTAATTTTTATTTTGACACCTTGTTTTTTTTCAATTATATCATTACATTTATAATTTTGTTGCAATGTGAACCAATTGATTGGTTACCATCGATCTAACACATTACCAAATAAATAACATGACAATATTGTGATGTGAAAATCACGTCAGATCTTATGCAGCAGGATTGAGTTTCAATATAGGATTTCCATCGAATCCATCACACATCTTCTTATCTTCTTCTTCTTGTCAGAGTTCTTCTTCACAATTGACGTCTGAAAGGTCGGTCCAATTGTTCAAATTCACTTACAAGTCAACAAAAAAGACTTAGTTACACTTTTCAGTGGATGATATTGTGGTTTAGAAGCTTGATTTATAAAACAATTAAATGAAGACCCTGATAATGTTAATCTAGTGGTTCAAACTTACTAAGCATCTCTCGGATCCACCTTGTAGGGGTTTTCATTTACTTATTGTACAAATTGAGCTTCTAAACCAATAACATTTCCTGAAAGGGTGAGTACAACCCTTTCACTGACTTTTAAGTGAGTTTGAACCACTGGATCGACCTTCAGACATCATTTGCAAAGAAATACTTTGATGAGAAGACTAGAAGAAGACAAGCAGATATTTGAAACTAGGTTCGATGCACACCCTATATTTGAAACTTAATTCTGCCACATAAGATCCGACGTGACTTCCACATCACAATATTGACTTGTCATTTATTTGGTAACTTGCTAGATCAATGGTAACTAGTTAATTGGTTGACATTGCAACAAAATTGTAAATGTAATAACATGATTGAGAAAAACAAAACACATTGTTAAAATCGAAATTTTGATAAACTTACTGACTTTATTGCAATTTGGGAAGAATGATTACCCGGAGAACATGAGAACCAATCAGTTGGTTGATATTATAATAAAATTGTAAATATAGTGATTTAACTGGGAGAAAAAAAATATATTGTCCAAATCAAAATTTTCCACTAATTTAATGAATTTATTGCAATTTGTCTAAAGTATATAAGAAACATTGTCAAATTATATATTGAAAACTTTATTTTCCAAGTTAAAAGTATTAATCAAATTTTGTAATATATTATATAAGAATGTAATAATGCATTTCATTATTTGTTAATTAATTGACTTTTATATATTTCATGTCCATTAAGTTGTGCGTGAGAAAGTTAGATGGGATGTAGTGTAAGTTGTACTTTTGTTGTTTCTCCTGCCCTCCGTCTAGTAACTTGCTAGGCGGCAGGATTATTTAATAAATTTGCCGGTTCAAATATATATATATATATATATATATATATATATATATATATATATATATATATATATATATATATATATATATATATATATATATGAGGTAAATTTTGTGTAGAATAGACTAAACACCACACATTAACAATTAGAAGTATGATTGACGATGGTAAAGAATACATCAGTAAAGTCGATACCAAAACTTGACTACGCCCATTTGCTATAAGTTGTGCCTTGAAATATTCCATCCTTCCTTTTTATAAACCCATTTGCATCAAACAACCTTCTTAACCTTAAGTACATGAACAAGATCCTAAGTACTGATCATGCACAAGAACAATCCACTTATCCGCATCCTCTGAATTATTTGCTCCACTATAAGTTGAGGGCTCATCAACCTACTCATATCCGATGCAACATTCAATGCATATGCAACCATATCAGTAACATATCTCATAGGAGGTACAATTTGTTTCCTTTCTCGATTTCTTGCAATGCATGAATGGATTGAAGTGGTGATGTATTTGATTACGAACCACCTTCATCTTCACCATCAGAAGAAGAATAATGTTGTATTGGTGTGTGTAGTAGGAAGCTCCACCTGAATTTGAGGACTCATCATTCTTTTCATCCACATCATTCTCTTGTGGCTTGGAATTGGACTATCTATGAAGCGTATATTTTCATCAAAAGTAACATCTCTACTAACAATGACTTTACGCGTCTTTGGACTCCACAACTTGAAACATGTCACTCAAACTTTGAACCTTAGAAATACACATTTCGAATGCTCAAGGTTTCAACTTTCCATTATCGAATTTAGTGTATGTGGAACATCTAAAAACTTTAAGCAAAAATAATACGCAGGTTTACCTGACCATACCTAAGTAGGTGTCTTCTTTTTGTGTTACAATGTTTTTAATTCTAGCTTATTACACAATAAACTTATTATCCATTCCAACTCCCAATTGACACACACCAACCCTCCACTATCCCTCCCCATAAATTAAGATAATCATCTTCTTGTGACATTATTTTCGAAAGTATTGTCAAATTATATACTAAAAACTCTGTTTTCTAAAATTCAAACTTCAAAGTACTAATTATATTAATCAAATGTGAACATCACAAATTATTGACAATCTGGTGTCTAATTTTGAAAATCCTTCTTGCATATTGGCTTTTGCTAACTCCATATTTTAATAGCATCTCGTATAAGGGTTTGAATAACTTTTTTTCTTTTGCGAAAGAGATTTGAATAACTTATTGACGATACATCAAATGAAGTGTTTATTGGATTAGGTATCTCATGTTGTAAATGACAACGTTTCTTGAATCACGAGCTCTGTCCTCCATTCACGAACCAATATGTTGTCAAATACCACATAATTGAAGAGGACACTAACCCCCATTACTCGATTGAAACACATTTCCAACCAAGTAATATAGGATTTTCTTGGGTATGCTGCTTCTTTTGTTGTACTACACGACTTTTCAATGAAACACATTTCTAACCATGTTGAAGAGGACACTAACCCCCATTACTCGATTGACGGGATTGTTTTGAATTTTGATACCATTTTCATACAAAAAACAAGAAATAAAAAAATACGATTACATAATAAGAATGAATACCCGACAAACGAAACTGGAATGTGAATTAGGGATTTAAATTTGAGATAATAAAATATGAAAACCCATAACACAAAATTTGTTGGGAATGCGATATTAGGCGCTTTTTAAGTTTCATATTTCTTGCATCTATGTGTTAATCTTTAATTATTGAAACAAATATTTGGATCCATTACTGCCATCAATCAATAGAAGCTAAGAGATCATACCCATGAAGATCAACATACTTGCAAAAATAAATACTTGCAAAAATAAATATCCCAGTTGACACAAAATAGCAAGGACAAACTCACTCTCCCATGATAGGAATTAAATAACCGTATGATATCATCAATCTTACCTAAATTTCTACCAAAATCTAAATCTATGTTTAAATCTTAAATCATCCAAAATGTAAGCACAAACATAGATTTCAACAACCCAAAAAACCAACTCATTGGTAGACTCAACAACCAACCATGTTTTTCTTCACTTCTACACCTCCTTCATTCAACCTGTTCAAAACAAATTTGCACAAAGAAAAAAGAAAAAACTTTATATCAAGCCAGCTTTATATATATAAAGCTGCATTTGTTACACAGGATGAGGAGAAGAGGGTATTCATGTCTTTTTCACAAACATGAAATCAGTCAAGGTCATATACTTGTCTTGTCCTGCATAAAAAACAAACCTAAGGGGCAAATATGTAAAATATGCGAATTTATGACCTTGACTTTTTCAATCCTCTTCTTCAGACGCCTCATTCAGCCACTGAATAAACTTCTCCGATTGCTTAACGAATATTTTATCCGATTCATCTGCATCTTCTTTCTCACTTGCCCAATTAAGAATCGCCTCCTCTTGAATTATATCTTTATCATACAAAACATGCAAAATCTGCACAAACAGTATTGCAAACTCCTTCCCTGACTCCAAACACATTTCTTCAAATTTCAATATCACTTCAATTTCATCATCAATACCATTTAAATAAGGTTTCAACAACTTCCCCCATTGAGAAATCACATCATTTGTGCTCTTCACCAAATCTTTACCAGTATTACGTGAAACATCAAGCGCCAATTTCATCATGGAATAAAACAAAGCACTAGCACAATTCTCAAGAGCCATATTGTATGACAACCGAAGTGAGTTCACTTCAAGGATAATATGGTCATCTTTCACATTTTCATTAACCCCCCTCAAGAATGTCGCTTCAACCTCTTTCTCAAAGTACTGTGACTCATCTCTATTATCATCATCAGTTTCAGTATCGGATTCTCTAACATCAGAAAGTGGAAGAAAAGAGTCATCTTGGATTAAAGCTTCAAGATCATCATAAACCGCTTGGGTAAGCTCGATAAGTTTAGAATCAGGTATTGGTGCAACCGAATGTCTCCATTCTTCTTCATGGTCAACTTCACTCATTGACCAAATGAAACCACGCCCATTTTTACCAATCTCAGATACAACACAATCATTTGTTGAATCACCATTTTCAAGGGTGTTTGTTGTTTCTATGATCCCACTATTACTATCAGCATATTCAAGCTCCTCATCACTATCTTGTTTCACTGGTTGTGGAAGTAAAGAAACTTTTGAGTAACTCGGGACAACAAATTCTTGTCCCACAACAACTTTATAAGACAAAACAACACCAGGTTCCAAAACTGCCCCTGACTTCATCACAACTCCATCACATAATATTGCATGTCTTAGTTTGCATCCATCTTGTATTGTTACATTATTCCATATATAGCATCCATCAATGGCAACATTAGAACCGATTTTACACCCATCCCCAACAACCGAATTTGAAATTATTGTGTTGTTTCCAATAAAGGTGTCTTTCCCGATATATGTAAAGGGTCCCACTTGTGAAGAACGAGACTGTGTTATGTTGGATGCGCGATAAATCCCGTGTCTCTCAAGTTTGGTGGCATTGTTGATTGAAAACTGAACATCTGGCACTAAAGGGTATGTCCACCTTTGAATTATGTCTTTACTTATGGAGTCATAGCTTCTAAAGTTATCAATTCGAGCAGCATAACTTGAATGGATTTCATGAGTGAAGATTTTGTAACCCATGATGTCATCAACAAGTAAACCTTTCACAAAGTGGCGACGAAGGTGTTGGTAATCAAAATTGTCAGTGAAAAGACTAAGGACTTCTGGTGAGCATATGTCTATGTAACAATCTTGTTTATCATTGTGTAAAGATAAAGAAGGGTTTTGAGCAAGAAATGACTTATCAAGAGTTAAGGATCCTTTGCGATCA